TGTTATTAGTTTAAGTATTTGCTATTGACCGTTCAAATGCAGAGTATTGCGCATCGTGAGAGAGAGAGAGACTGACTGGAGTCAGCGGTCTTAACCGTGGCTTGTGTACTGCAAACACATATTCATCACTGTGTCTGTCACGCGACTGTTCCCCTTTCAGGCTGTCTTTACATTTATTTTGAAAGATGAAGCTGGTGATTATGGTAAGGGGCGTTCGGCCAATCACAATGCACTGGGTCAGCTGGCCAATCAGAGCAGACTGCGCTTGTCGGAAGGAGGGACTTTGTAGAAAACTAAGTGTTTGAGAGAGGCGGGGCATAGAGGACCTACAATAATGTACAGTATTTGAAAAATAATGTGTTTTTTGAACATTAAAGCATGTCAACATATTCGGTTACACCAAATACACAAAATAATGATCTTTAAAAAAAAAGCATCATATGACCCCTTTAAGAAAATTCTTAGCTAATGAGAACTCACGAAATCGTCTTTTAAGACTTATTGGGCATTAGCCATAAACAGTGGTTACATTAATGGCATGCCCAAAGTATAGTTTATTATTAAAACTACTAATTCTTGTTAGCATGTCCTCAACCCAAAAACACGCTCCACGACACCAACATACCAGAAACTTTAAATACAAATATAACATCCAAGTCTACCAAATTTATATAAAAAAAAAAAAATTAAAACATGTGGAGAGTACATCTAGTCCTGTGCAAAGCATGATGGGAAGCAGAAACCCGTTCCTAGCTACACAAGCGCAGTACATGAACGGGTTCTAAAGTAAAGTGGTCAAAGAATTGGATTAACTTCATTTATACTCAAGTAACTTGAACAAGCATCAAATGTTATTTCTGGCCTACTTAATGGAAACACGTGCTTCCAAAATGAAAATATTGAGTGTATCCAAAACGCAACCGTTTCAAAGGAAGGGGGAAACTGAACTGAAGAGACTTCAGGACACTGTGCAGCTGAGAGTACTGATGTTAAGCAGCACGAGCCGAGTGAGGACTCGAGTTTGCACCTGTATGAGGTTCAAATCAATACCTCTGCAGTAATGACTGCGGTGCAGGCTCGTGCTGAACCACTCGTTTCGACAAACACCTGGAAAACAGGAGAGAAACAGAAGTGAGCCCCGCGCAGATGCACAACTCGAGCAATGGACCACGCGTCTTACACACTACACCAGACTGAGTCCCGCCGACTCATCTTCACTACACCCTGCGCTAAACGCCAGATATTCACAGACGAACCAGTGCTGTGGCATCCAAACAAACTCCCTGCGAGAACTAGCTGCTAAAACAAAACTCTCAGTCGTCGATGTTGACGGATTAAACGAAACTCACCTCCATCCTCTGCGCGAGCGGGCCGAAGGAGGAAGACGCGAGCGTGACGCGGTCTTTTATAGAGCGAAACTCGACGCTGATTGGTGGACTGGCTCATCGCTGATTGGTCGACTGAGTTGGCTGGGTCGCAACGCT